TAGAATATATGCATCTTCAATTTTAGTAGATGCTGTAATGCCAAACATTTTTCAGTGGTTACAATATATTAGTAGTGCACAAGAATTTCCAGTTGTTCCACCTCCCTAGCACTTGTCATATTTTACACTTTTTGCCATATTTTAAATTTGCAGTTTCTGTTCTGTGACTTTACTGTGCATAATGTATAAGTACATTGTCCATTTAGATGTCCTCTTTTGTGAAAGACCTATTCATTGCTCTTGCCCATTTTTCTAATTTTGTCTACTTTTTTCTAAATGGAATGTGGTTCTTTGAGTTCTCATCACAAATCTTTGTTGATTACTTCTGTTGCAGACACCTTCTTTCATTTTATGGCTTTTTTTTTTTTTTTTTTTTTTTTTTTTTTTTTTACTATCTTAAAGTGCCTTTTGATGAGCAGAGATTTTTAATTTTAGTGCAGTCTGATTTTACTGATCTTAACCTTTGCAACTAGTACTTGGAGTCATGTTTAAAATTATTTTTACTTCCCAAGTTTATGAAGATGTCATTTCTGTCTTCTAAAAGCTTTATTATTTTGTCTTTCATATTTAGATAATGTGGTAGAACTAGAGATAATTTTTATATGTGGTATAATGTAGGAGTCAAGTTTTTATATTTTTACATGAATTTCTGCTTTTCTAGTATCTTTATTTAAAAAGTACCCTTTCCATGATGCCCTGCAGTTCCCCTTTTGTTATAAATCAGGAGTCTTTATATATCTGGTCTGTTTTTAGGCATTTTATTTTTCCCATCTCTTACTACCACTATTTTAATTGCTGTAACTTTCTTCAAATAAAATAAATTTTTAAGCTAGTAGAACAAGCCATTCTACCTTTTTCAGTAGTGCTTTGATTAATATTGGCTCATTAAATTGTCATATAAATTATAGCACTAACATCACAAAAATTCTCTGAATTTTCATCATGACTGCATTGAATGTATCATTTGATTTCTGGAGAATTGGCATTTTTTTAGTATTTTTTTTCCCACCCATGAACTGAACTGTCTTTCCATTCACATAGATCATTAATTTCTCCTGTAATTGTTTTATAGTTGTTTATATATTGATGTCTTAATACATCTGTAATTAATACTAAGTAGTTAATATCTTAAAATATAATTAACGTGCTACTTTAAAGTTTTAGTTGTTTCTTGTTGCTCATTATATAAAAACAACTTATTTTGTTGTTTTTCACCTTGTATTCAGTAATCTTGCTGAACCCATTCATTTTAATAACTTTTCTGTGGATTCCTTTGGATTTTTAGTGTATAATCATATTGTTCATGAATAATGATCATTTAATTTGCTGTTTTATAATGCTTAAACTTTTTTCTTTTGTACATGAGCCAAGACCTTCAGTGTTAAATAGAAATGGTAAAGTCGTGATAGTGGTCATTCTTGGCATGAATGACCCCTTGGTGACTTTTTATCACGAAGTGCATTTGTTAGAGAATTTTCGTAGATGCCTTAAAATTAAGCATGTTCGTTTCAATTCATGGTTTTTTGTTTTGGGGTTTTTTTTGTTTTGTTTTGTTTTGTTTTGTTTTGTTTGAGACAGGGTCTCACTGTGTAGTTGAGACTGACCTGGAACTCACTATGTAGCCCAGGCTGGTCTCACACTCACAACGATCCTCCTGCCTCAGCCTCCCAAGTGCTGGGATTATAAGCATGTGCCACCACCCCCACCTGTTATTCACATTTTAAATTTCTTCATTGACGATATTAGTTGGATTTTCATAGAAATTTCAGCCTAGCCTCTTTCTCCCTCCTCCCCTTCCCTTTCCCTAGCCTAATTGCTTTGGCTGAAGTTTAAAGTACCACATTGAATTAGGAGTTACGATAGTGGACATTTTTGCTTCATTGCCAGGATTTTTAATTTTTTGTTAAGTTTTTTTCAAAGTGCTACATTTAGGCTCCGATACTGTTTTTTCTCATGTTTGTTTTGTTTCTTGGGCTTGTTTTGTTTCTTAGCTAGTTTCATGAAAGACTTCTTAATATGTAACTTTTCTGATATATGCATTTAAGGCTATAACTTTTAGAAAAAGCTTATACAAAGTTAATATTATCAGTTAAAATATTTCCTGATTTCCATTGCGATTTCTTCTTTGACAGTGAGTTTTGTAGGAGTCTAATTCTTGAGTAAAGGGGTTTTTAAAATTTAAAGTTAGAATTTTAAAATTAAAACTTTTGTTTGTAATTACACTATTAGAAAATGTACATAAATTACTTTGTCAGATAAAGTATTTCAACCCTTGGAAATGTGTTATCTTGCTATGCATGTTTTAAAATGATTAATATTCTGTAGTGAAGATACTGAAGTCTCTATGTATTAGATCACTTATGTTTATTAAGTTGTTCAGTTCTATATCCTAATTATGTAGACACAGTTCTCATTGTTCACTGTAGCTGTGGGTATTTCTGTATTTTACTTTGAATCTTTTAAAGCCAATTCTTAGGTACGTGCAAATTTGGAAATGTTCATAACTTGAACCTTTGCCACTCAACAGATATAACACTTCTTAGAGTTTACTTTAGCTACCATTGAGCCACACCCCAACTTCTATGCCAGCTTCCTTGTGATTGGTATTTGCACAGTGTGTCTTTTTAAAAATCTGTTTCTTTCAACCTTTATGAATTCTTATGTTTTAACTATATCTCTTAAACATTTGTTGCTTAATACAGTCAGATAGTATTCCAATTTTGAGGAGCATTTACTCTGTTGAATCTAAGTAGATTTTAACCAACTATATAAATGATTACCTGTTTTATTGGGTACTTTTTGTCTTGCCTGAACATATTTTCCTTTTGCTTTTCTTCATGGCCCTTTATTGTTCTTTATCTTTTTTTACTATTTCTTTTCCCATTTTCCCTTCTGATCAGAAGTCAACACTCTTAACCATTCTTTCAGTAAATAGCATAAAGATATCATAAATCTGTAACCTGACAGTCTGTTGATTCTTTGTTTTTTCCCAGATAAGTACTTCAGTACAATTTAGTTTTTATGTGATTAGTTGCTGTTGCTACTGTCTTTTAATAATCTGTGTTTTAAGTCCCACACATCATCACTATTGTGTTTTATGTAGTCAGACTTAAGTATTTACTGTTTCACACAGATCTGCTAGTGTAAAGTCTCCACTTTGTTTGAGAAGTCTTTATTCACCTTCTTTCCTGAAGGCTGTGTTTACTATGTGTACACTTCTAGGTTGACAGGCACTTTTCCTTTCATCACTTTCAGAATATCATTTCTGCCTTCCATGATCTCTTGTTGAACTTAATAGTTGATTCTTATTTTCAGGCCATTAGTTTTTTCCGACTGCCCTTAAATTTCTCTTGTCTTGAGTTTGTTGCTCTTGTATGTCTAGATGCCGACTTTTTTTTTTTTTTTCTTTTTGTAGTTAAGTAGGCTTTCTTAAAAGAGGTAAATATCTTTGGAGTTTTCAAATGCTCTGCCATTATCTTAATATTTCTTTTGTGGACTCTTTCCCCTCTGCTAGTATTCCATTTAAACATACAGTAGGTCTTACTGTATCTTTTACCTTCTCTGATGAAATTTTCCCCAACTTGACTGGATTTTTCTTCAGACTTAACCTACCATCTGTTAATTCAACTCTAACTTTCTAGCTCCTTTAGTGTGATTTAAGTCTGTCTGATAGCCACAATATCTGAAGTCATTGAAGTAGTTTTGCTTCCTAGTGTTTTTTAATTTTATTTACATTGTCTTGTCTCCTTTTGTTCTTGTTTACTTTTGAAAAATTACTTGTATATATATTTTGAGGCCTAGGGGGTATTATTTTCAAAAAAATTTTTTTTGGGGGGGCAGGTCCTAAACACTAGCAATTATGGGTCCCTTTAATACAGTTTTAGGGATTGCAGTTTTCTGAGTCATTTAAATCAGAACTAGGCTACAGTATACACAGGGTTTCTTAAAATTTCAGTTTATCCTTTGTCTAGAATGCAGACCTTATAGATCCCAAAGTTAGGCCAGGAGGTTTGACCAGTCAGTACCTCACACTCTTTTATTCTGTACCCTGTAAAGGACCAGACAGTAAGTATTACAGGCTTTGTGGACCCTACAGTCCCTTTCACAGTGAACTCTACCACTGTTCTAAGAAAGCAGCCACAATTGATGATGAATGTATTCCAGTAAAGCTTTATTTTCCAAAATGGGGACTAGACCAGATCTGTCCCATGGGCCAGAGTGTGCCAACCCCAGCTGTAATTTGTCAGAAGCTCTGCTGAGAGCCTCTGCTACCATTTCTGGAATTCATATCAGCACTAAATTCTGGGTCCAGCCGCTCCTTGCTCTACCCTGTTAGGTCTACAATATCTTCAAACGTGTTAATTTCTTTATGTATGGTCAGGTTATTCTACAAAACCTACTCTGCTATTACCAGAATCTAAAGTCATAGAAAAGGCAACCAAAAAAAAAAAAAATTTTTTTTTTCTCAAAAAAATGTAACTGTTACTCCATAATATATAAATTACTTTTTTTAACAAAACAAGTTTTGGGACATCTATGATCTTCCTAGACAGATTGTAGATTCCAAGGTTAGCCATAAAGTTGCCCTTTACAGTCTCCTGTGATGATGAGAATGGTCTTTGAGTACACCATTCACTGTGGTAACCATTGACTGCTGGGCATTCCAAAAGGGCTGCAAAACTGAAAATTTAATTTAAATTGGCTTAAAGTTAAATAGTCCTGCATGGCTGTTTAGCTTAGCGTGGGCGCAACTTGAAGAATCTCCTCTCAGTATCCAGTGTGTTCTTACACCTCCAACCACTGAAGCATTCATTTTCCAGGCTAGTACAACTCCTTTAACCTAAATGTGTCGGATGAATAATGTCTCAGATACCTTAGGCCTCACAGAATGTTTCCGTTTATTCATCCACGTGGTATGAGGCAGTACACGTGATGTCCTAAATGGACATCATAAAACCGATGCAGTCAGTTTATTTTCTAACATGAATTTTTCTCTGCAGGGAAAGGGTCGTATCCGTCGAGGAAACCATCCAAGTCCATCCTCTCCTGTTGTAGTTCGTTTGCCTTCAGTGTCTGATGTCCCAGAAGAGAGCTTGGGTAGCGAGGCCACCTTGGAGACCAATATCACGGAACAGCAGCAAGCAGCCATGCAGCAGGAGGAAAGAGTACTGACTGAGCAGATTGAGAACCTGCAGAAAGAGAAGTGAGTATGCAGGGAGAGGAAGAGACTTGTTTCACTGCCTTCTATCTAGCCTTTCCTCTTTGTCACTGTTAAGTATCTCCTGTGTACTCAGCACTATGACAGAGGATATAGAAGATTTACAGGGTGTTTCAATCTTGTTAAAGATCATGTGCCACAAATGGCAGAGAGACAAGTTAAGGTACCAGTCACCTGATAAGTCAAGAACCAGCCTCCCTGAACAGATTGGTTTTGCAAAAGAAAGCCAAGATTCCCTGGGCTAAGACAAAGGTGTCTTTTTCAGGAATGGGTGTTATTTACAACACTAAGGGAGGATTACTTAAAGATCGGTATGGCCATGGGTTCAGGAAATGGATGTGCAGGATGCTTGGATACTGGGTAAGGAAATTGGCTGCAATTTTAAGAGAAGGACAGATAGTTCTGTTACCTCCATCCTCACTGTGGTGACACTACCCCTCCCTTAGGGATAATAGAAGTATCCCATGGTTCCCCCTGAAGGTGCTATGTACTAGTCCAAGCCCTAAAGAGATTCTTTAGGGTCCCCCAGTTCTTGAAACTTACATCTTGGATCTCAGAACTTGATTAGTAAGGGGAAATGAGACTTTTAAAGGACTTATCTGTTAGGATTGATTTTAGAATTTAGGTCAGCTAAAAGAAAACATGGTAAGGCAGAAGTGGTATACACTGAGCAGGGCTGACAGTTTGTTGTAAGAGTGATGTGAGGGGCTGCGAATGTAGCTCAGCACCACACCTACTTGGCAAGCACAAGGTCCTTAGGTTCAATCCCTGGTACCACCAAAAAAAGAAAAAAAAAAAAAAGTGATGCGAAAGAGGACCTATCTCATCTTTGGTGAAGAGAGTACTAGAGGCATTAAAGGATAAGTAAGAATTTGGTAGGAGGAGAAAGTCTGCAAAGAAAGAACTATGAGCCGAGTCTCAGATGAAATTGTCATGGCTTATGACAATTTTAATTGCAGTAGTAAATTACTAGTAAGACTTTTAGAACAGGTTGATGGTCTCAAGGTAAAGTGGAAGTGGAGTCTAAAAGGGACACCAAGAATTGGAAGGCTAAGGATGTTGTGGGTAGACATAAAATACTGGATTCAGAGCTGGAATATTTCCAGGTAATAAACTCTAGAGTCTGTCCATTGGAGAAGGTGGCTTATGAAGTGGAGAAAAAGAAGGCACAGCAGACATAAAGGACCTTTGGTATTAGGGCTTTGAAGTGATTTTTTAAAAAGATAATTGAAATAGATCAAGGTGTTTTCAGGCAGTCCTGAACGGGCATGTTTGGGATGTAGGTCAGTGACTGATGAAGAAAAGAGAATACTATAACTAGAGATGACATAGCTTTGAAGACCAGAGAACACCAGTATTTTACTTCATCCAAAGGCCTATCTGTGGCAATGGTAGAGGGTTAAAGTCTCTTTCCAGTTAGTAAAGCTTATGAACATAGGAGCTGAAAGGAATTTTAGAGACTATTTAATCTGTGTTCAGGGTTAGGAACCTGAGCGCCAGAGTGAAGAGAGTACACTGGACTGATAATTAGAAGATCAGAGTTCCAAAAGCGTCAGTAGAATTCATTTTACCAGAAGACCTCAGCTTACTTTAGCCCTTTTTTTTGGCGGGGGGTGGGGGGGTTACCGGGGATCAAACTCAGGACCTTGTGCTTGCAAGGCAGGCAGCAGCATCACCAAGCTAAATCCCCAGTCCGGCCCTGTCATTATTGGTCTTACATTTGTCATGTGTCTTTCCGGTTTCTTTGAGACAGAGTCTTGCTATAGTTCAGGCTGGCCTTGAACTTGCAGCCATCCTCCTGCCTCAGCCTCTCTAGTGCTGATATTACAGGTGTGTGCCACCACCCCTCACCTGCTCTGTCTTTTAGTCATCTAGTTTTAGCCATCGCCGTTACCTTCCATATGTCCTCATCACCATCCTGGAGGGCACAGTAAGAAATGTGACTGTTTTTGCTATTTGGATTGTTGACTTTCACTTGATGTCTTCTTCCCCTTTCTTTTCATTTCTTACCCAAGTGCTCACTGGATCTACTGATTGTATCTTACAGGGAGGAGCTAACATTTGAGATGCTAGTACTGGAACCCCGTGCCTCTGATGATGAAGCCCTCGAGTCTGAGGCCTCCATTGGGACTGCTGATAGCTCAGAAAATTTGAATATGGAGGCTGAGGGGACTATACCCGAGAGGTCAGGTAAATGAACCTGTCAGATCAGTGACTCCAGGTTTGTTTTGCAGAGAAGGAATAAGGACCCTCAAGCTAAGACAGAGTCCCTTTTAAGTATGCACTGATCTTACATGAGAAGGTGACAGGGTCCTAAGGAATCATTCACTTTGTGAAGCTTTCACATAAACTGCAACATATCAACACTTCAGTGTAGTAGTTTTGTGGTAATTTAATTTTTTCTTCTACATTTTCTAGAGAAAAGCTAGTAGTCACAGTACATGTCTTACCATCCCACACCCATTTTCTAATGGTGAGAGGTAGAAACAGTGAGATGGGATGATATGCTAAAGGAGTATTTAATAGAGCAGCATATCTCAAGGAGACAGAACTTAGTACTTAATCTCTCAATTTTTAAAATGATAGTGACTGTTCTAGGCCTCTGCTGGTAATGTAATCACATACTGAGCTTCCTTGGGATGGATTATGAAATGATACAAGAAATGGGTGGAGGGCTCTTTTAAGACCTTTCAGAGCAAATCAGCCTGGACCTCCCCCCCAGTATTAGCCCATTCAGTTCCTATGTGAACAGTGACTTGTGTTCATTATTTAACAAATTGCTTTAGAGGAAACTGACACTTATAGTTTTGGTCTCTTGTTTTGTATTAGAGAGAAGCTTAGGCCTCAGCTCCCTGAAGGCAGCTGCTAAGTCTGAACCTTCAGGAAAATTGGGAAAGCAGCTCAAAAAGCAGCAGGACTCTTTGGATTTTGTGGACTCCACGTGTCTATCCAACACTGCATCGTCTCATGGCACCAGAAAACGCTTTCAGATTTATTCCAAATCTCCATTCTACCGAGCTGCCTCTGCCAGTGAAGCCCCAGGAATGGAAGGACCATTGGGCCAGGCAAAAGCCCCGGTGGAAGACAAGCCTCAGTTTATCAGCAGAGGGACCTTCAACCCTGAAAAGGGCAAACAGAAACTAAAGAATGTGCGAAACTCGCCTCAGAAAACCAAAGAGACCCTAGAGGGGACAGTTGTGTCTGGCCGCAGGAAAGCTGTGGACCCAGACTGCACCTCTGCCCAGCAGCTGGCTCTCTTTGGAAATAACGAGTTCATGGTCTGAACTGGCAGATGTGTGTGCCCTGTGGCTGGAGCGGTAAGCACACATTGCCTCTCTGAGGCCTCATCACCATGCCACAGTAGTCCCAGTTGTGGCCTTGCTTCCAGGCTCAGCATGCAGTTGCAACCTGTGTGCTGAGTTCCTGGGCCTCAGTGGAAGTAGAAAAGCCTCCGAAGCTTGCTGGGAAGGGTGCCAGCTGTGCCTTGGCTGCTGTTTTAAATCGAGATTTCACTAAACAAAGCCACAGGCCTGGGGTTTTGGTCAGTGGTAGTTGCTCCCACCTTTCTTTCACTCCTTGGAGATAATAGTTGACCTACTGGGGGATATTGTGGACCTGAAGGACCCTCTGATTTCCAACATTGGAAGAAAACATATAAACCTTTCTTAACCATGACAGCGAAAGGCCTGCAGCTTTGAGATTAAGAGCCAGGGTAGAATATAATTTTTTCCCACGGATTCATAAACAGAAAGCCTAAAACTCTCTATTTAAAAATATTTGAAAAACACTCCATATTATATCTGGGGAAAGTGAAAAAGCTATTTCCATGAAGCCATCAGAGCATGTATGACACACCTGGTTGTACGATGAAGACAAGAGTACATGCTTTGTTTTTGATATTTGAGGTCAAAATAATCAATGCTGGTTTAACTCCTGATTAGTTCCTGTTAAATCTATTGCATGGAATGAGGTTACAGTAGCTATACTCTTCTCATGTTCCCTGATCCTAAGATCAGATTCTTCTGTTTTTTGTTCTTTTTTTTAATGTCCTAGAGACATTCAAGAGATCCCTAAACATGAAGATTTCATCCTAATCCATCCAGGAATTTCTCTTTGCATAGATTTAAGCTGAAAACCACACATGAGCCGATCCCCACCATGGACCCAGATAAATAATGTGACCATTTTATCACTTGCTCCCCAAAACACAATACTGCATGAATAAGTGTTATAGAAAGCTGCCAAAATATCAAAGGTTTTAGTATGACCCATCTAACTTTTACTTTCCCTCAGACTATCAGTATTAAATAGAAGAAAAAAAAAATCAAGGACTACTTGAAGGTATTTTTGTTAATATACTGGTTACTGAAGTTTACTGTAAATATGTGTATAGTATGTCTATTTCTTTGTAACCTTGTGCTTCCCAGGGAATTTCTTTCTCAGATTAGGGGCTGTTGGATAGGGAGTCAGCCACTCCTCACATCCCTGGATTGAAGAAAGGTATGACCATCTTTTTATCACTTGTGGTCTCTACACTATGTTATCACAACATTTGAAGCATCTTGCCATTTGTGCGAGTAAATATGTGTATAGTATGTCTATTTCTTTGTAACCTTGTGCTTCCCAGGGAATTTCTTTCTCAGATTAGGGGCTGTTGGATAGGGAGTCAGCCACTCCTCACATCCCTGGATTGAAGAAAGGTATGACCATCTTTTTATCACTTGTGGTCTCTACACTATGTTATCACAACATTTGAAGCATCTTGCCATTTGTGCGATGAAATGTTTTTTGCTATTTATAATGTATAGAAAAATGGAACCCTTTGAGTTAAGTATGTGAAAATGTTTATGTCTAAAGTTAACTACATGCATCTTGTCTAACTACCACATGCACTGTTCTGAAAAAGAGCCTTACCGCCTGTATCCTGAATTACAGTTATGCTTTTCATACTTTCTTGATTTGATTGTTCAGGCAGAGTCTCTCCTGTTACACAACACTGAACCTCAAACCACTGCCTCAGTGGTCCCTGGCCAGCCATTGAGGTCAGATAGAAGCATCATCATTCTGTGTGGCTGCTAAAGGTAGCATGCATCTTCCCTGTATCTGGTTTTGGTTCAGAATCGAGCCAGGGAAAGAAAGCCTTTAAAACCTTCAGAATGATGGTTAATCAGCAGATGTAAGGTTTTACAGCTCATGAATATTTACCACCTTGTTCATGTCCTGCGTGATGAACATTAACCTGTAATGAACATTAACCTTTAAAAGTCTGAATTTCAAAAACAAGCTTGGTGATACAGACCTGTAGTTCCAGTTACACAGGAAGCTGAGGCAAGAGGATTGCTTGAGCTCAGGAGCTTAAGGCCAACCTGAGCAATGTAGGAAGACCCCCATCTCAAAGTATGAATATCAGAGACTGTCCCAGAGGGAAAGCTGCCCAGTATGGCTATGTGCAAGGGTGGTGCTGCTTCCTGGGCCCATACTCAGCTCCACACTTTGATTCTTGGGAGCTTAGTACACTGCTCGGCACTGACTGTTACTTTCCACTTGGTCCATGATGTTGTTAAAACTTTTTTTAAAGAGCTTACCCTTGTGAATAATTTTCTGTGTCCCAGAGGGATGACCCGGGGAACACATCTTGACACAGGTTCTCCAGTCTAAATCTTTGTGGAGGTTTTTTTTTGTTTTTTTTGGTAAGATAAGCTTTTGGCAGTAAAATACCCATTTATAATAGGTCACTTTATAGGAACTAGTTGATGGATGTTAAGAGACTTTATAAATTTTCTCAGGGACCTAAAACCTGAATTTGGATAAAATTAAATAAAAAAAATTGTTTTTTGGTTGCTAGCTTTGTGGATTTCTAGTCATTTAACAGGCTGCCAGGATGGGGGTGGTTGGGAGGGGAGATCCAAGCCATTGTAGGAATGTGTCACAGCAGGTGTGGCCCCCACCCCCTCGAGGGAAACAAGACTGCTCTCCTAGGATGACAGGTGTTATTTCCTGATGAGATGAAGACAAACTTACCAATGCTACGTCCACTTCCATCTGTTCTTAATTGGTCCTCTGTACAGCTCACGTCACGCCAGCACCAAGGGATGCTGCGTTACATGCACCTTGTAAGTAGGATGTTTATCCTGAATATGTGTTAGATTTGTGGTTTCCTCTTGCTTCTCTATGCTGCTTTTCTTTGATCTTGGAAATGCCACAAAGGAAATATCTGCATGGAAGCAATTATTGGGGTGGTACCACGTTCAAAGCCCACACTCCAAGTTTAGTCAGCATCACAGTCCCGGCCCTGAATACATTTTTTCTTCTGCCCATTGAAGCTAGTGTTCTTACTGCAATTGCATATAAATCATAGAAATATAACAGAAGCAGAAGTTGAACTTCATTCTAGACTACAGATTGAAGCAAATTAGCACAGACAGGATAGAGGGGAGGTGACATGCTTAGTTTATGATACACTCTGTATTTTCTACCATTTAATTATTTGACACCTCTGGACTTTTGAAAACACAGACAGAGAGCCAACCCACTTCCTATGAATTTTGCGGAGGAAGGCAACAGGACCTGAGGTCAGGATGCTGGAGTCCCCAACTTCCCATAGCACTTAGCCCAAGATCAGTGGATACTTCTGTGTTCCATCACAGTAGGGTGGTTTTCTGGGCAAAACCTGGGTTCTGGAAGTGTGCTGAGAAGAGGTAGGCAGTCCAGGAAGGTCCAACCTCAGGTTCTGTGGGCTGTGTGTTTCTAACTGTTAACTTGTGAATGTGTTCCTTTCACAAGCTCTCTGCTGAATTAGGATTCTCAGGATGTGTCCAAAGCCAAGTGTTGATCATAAACAGTTCAGGTGGCTTTCTCATCTACTTCTTCTGCCCTTGTCGGGGAACTGAATGTGCGGTCTGTATCATTTTGCGTTGAAAAGCATAGGTTCACTCATACCTTTTTGACAACTCCCAGCTGTTTCCCAACACCTTGCTGGCCTTGGTAATAAAATCCTTGGTATTCGTGGGAGTAAACACTTTGCTCTGGAACCACTCTCACATCCGATTCAGTGTAACAAGTAACTGCAAAAGGATCATGGAGATGGCTCTGTTAGTTCTTGGTGATCTCTTGGTTGAAACTGTTTTCAAAACCCACCAGTGGGGCTGTCACTTTCCTGTCTATCCATTCTTCATGCTTAACATCCCCTTAGGTCATACAAAAAGTTGCACCTCTTAAACCAAGTATTTGTATTTACTGTGGGAAAGGTGGACTACAGATTAGTATTATATTATTTTAATGGATTTAATTTATAAGTATGTTGAGTGTAAATTTTTTAAAGACTGTATTATAAAAGGACATATCCTGTGAAATATATCATTTTACTGTTGAATAATTCTATAAGAAGAATGATTTATCTCACTCACAGAACTGATTACATTCCTGATGCAATCAACAGGCACTTTGTAACTTCCTATTTTAGGGGGAGGACGAGACATCTGTATAAAGTACAGTTTGTGTCCCTCAGAATATGCACTGTATGGCTACACAAAAGCAGCTTGATGAACAAATCACCCCATGGCTCATTAAAAAACAAAGCTTCCAGAAGCAGCAGTATGTGTGGTTTCTTTTCTAACCATCCGTGTTCCCACCCCAATTCACAACCCCAAGGAACAGTAGTGATTTTTTAATTACAAGGAAAGGTCTCTACCCCAAACTGACAACATGCAGAGGTGAGTTAGTGGAATTCAACTGAATTTTTACATGAAGACGAAATTCCAGGTGTTGGTTTCTCTGTAAGGGATGCCATCTACTGGCTGTCAAAACATTTAGAGGGGATTCCAGGCTGGCTGAATAATGGTACCTAAAACTCACTTGCTTCCCCCAACACACAAAAGAAAAACCAGACCAACAGGTATATTGCTATGTTTTGAGTGATCCTGGGAGGATGCTGCAGTTAGCAAGAGAAACTAGCATCTCAAGAGTCAGAAGACCAGGGACATAGAGAAACAAAATATCCTATCAACCAACCACCCTGCCTTAATGGCCAGGGGCAAGGGGCCATTCTCTGCAGGAGTATCCGGGAGAATCCCAGTGAACAGCTCTAGCTACTTTGCTTTCACACCCTCCCTCAGCCTTGCAGCCTGATTTAATCAGTAGCCTTTTTTTAGGGAAAGGATTCCACATCATGACCTCCCAGTGAACTCCTAGGGTGCTATGCCCAAGAGCCATCTTGCTAGAGACCTACCAATGTGTGAACTGGGCTGCTCCCGGAAGCCACAGATTTCACTGCACTGGCTGATCGGGTAGCTGCTTCATGAACCACACTTGGCCTGGTAGAGTAACAGTCACCCTCCTGGGTTCCCTCTGTAGTGTAAGGGTGGATATTACAACACAACAGGAGTGCTGCCCTCAACCGGGAGCTTGGGGAGTGTGCGCTCAGATCACAGATGTGGCTGGTTGTGTGTACACACTAGTGGTAGGAGTAAAGGTGGTCACTCATGGTTCCTGCCACACTTTTCCTGGTACCCTGCAGAGGCTGTCACTAATAGTACAGAGAAGGAACTTCCATGAGCCCCTGTTGCCCCACCCTCAAGTGCATGGCCTACTGAACTCCAGAGAGAAACTGCCCAGTGCCACCAGTTGTGTCCTGCTCTCACCTCTGCCTACAGGCACTTTGAAGAAGTCAGGGGGGAAAGCCCCAGTGGTCACCCTGTCTCCAGGTGTGCATGGTTGGAAGTGCCCTGAGGTCTTGCTGTTGTGTGGGTACTGCTACAGTAACAGGAGATAGGGACATCTCATTTCCTGCTGTCACCACACCTACAGGGTTCCCACCACCAGCTAATTTTGTCTGACCGTGCACTGCTGTTAGGCGTTGTAGTTCTTGTCACCACCTTCTCTGTGAAGTACCTTTACACCACCTTGTCAGAATACAAGTGCTTCAGGCCAAAAACGCTTACCTTTAACAGCCACTATCAACAGTGCTTCAGAAAACCCCCATCACCTGTGAGGCTCCACCACTCCCATTACAGGAGTAGCCACACAGGATGTACCACATGCTGTTGTCTACACCACACCTGCTTCAACTGCTAGTGTCGCAGCACTCACGAGGCCCAGAGCTCACTAATAGCCAGAGAAACTACAGGGAGACTACTATGGTACCCAGCTGGAAACAGATCCAACATTGCATTAAAAACTGATGACCAAGACATAGCTTCAGGAGAAAACAGCTTATTAAAAAGGTAACCTCAGCCGGCTGCACAGTATCCTCCCAATGCAAGCAAGCAGGCCCATGCTCCCCCACACAGAAGCTGCCTTGGCTCCCAGTGCAAATAAGCAGGCCTGTCCCTACGATGCAACACCCCCATCATAAGCAAGCAGGCCCGTGCCAGCCACGTGGTGCCCTCCAACCCAAAGGTGCAACCATCCGCTGACTCCCAGCCAGCTCCACATTTTGCTTCCCCATGACACAAACACAGGGCAGCAGAGCCAAACTGACTGACCTGATCCTGGAAGAGGACACTGCCTAGGGAAAGAAGGTAAGCCTGGAAAGCCAGCAGACCCAGGAAGAAAGTGCAGACTGGGCCAGC